GAGGAGATTCACTACCAGCAAGAGACAGGAGTGGAGCACATCCTCTGGCCCTGAGACCCGTGTGCAGGACACCTCATTGGTCTAGAAGACAGCTGCGACCTTGGAGGAGCAGAAGCAGCAGGAGGCAGAGCAGTGGACCTCCCAGCCCACAGAGTGAGTAAAGCTGAGTGCTTTGGGGCAGGAGGCTGGCTTGTGGAGCAGTGTTTCAGCACAGTGAACTGAGCAAGCTGGGTTCGCAGATCCACAGAGTGGCACGCCCTTTGGGCGTGTAGTAGCAACCTGAAGGAACTTTGTACCATTTGTCCTGAGCCATTTGTCACCTGCATGGCAACCTGTGAACTTCCGTAATAAATCCCTCCATCATGAGTTGTGAGTTCAGTGTGGCTACTGCTACCCATTACTGAACTCAGTAGCTGAGGAGTAGAGTGTGCTGTGTGTGCTAGAAAAGCCATGTCGTGGAAAGTGGGAGGGCGTAGCACGAGACCTCTTTAGAAACCAGCTGCCCTCGCCCACTTTCATGACCCACTGTTCTTGGTAGTTTATTTCCGGTCCTCAGTCAGGCTACCTTCTGTACTTGGTCCACACTTGATGAGCCATTTAGAAAGGAATTGTCTTTGTGAGACTCACAGAGTCAGACAGACTTCATTCTCCAACTTTCACACCTGAAAATGCAATGACGCTAATATGCCAAGTGCAATTCTACCAATGGGAGCCATCATCATATGAGATAATACTTAATAGTCACCAGCTCCTAAAAGTGCTTACAAAAAGAATCCAGTCCACCATTTATGATCCTCATTTTATGCTGAGGAAATGAAGGACAGAGAAGTGAAGTGCTCTGCTGTTATCAGATCGGGATTACAGTGACTCCGTCTGTTTTCTCTGCTTCTAAGCATCCCGAGCTATAGATGCCTTCTGAGAAAGCCAAAGAAAGCAATCTCTAAATGTTTCTCAAAACATTTCCCGATGCTAGTAATTATAGCTGACCAGTAATTATATGTCCTACAGCAACCTTATAGGGCATAGGAGAACTGCCGCTCTGGGTTTTCATGTAACTTGACTGGACTAAAGTCTCATCTTTCCCTGAAAGGCTGGTAGTTTTGAACTGCTCACCTTGAGGTCTGCATCC